AGTGCTAGCATCAGGCTGACAGCAGCATTCACAGCCTTCAGGTTTAAAAACAGAATCTGACACCTTGGCCATGAGGCGTCTGCATGCCGAGGGCCACGACATCCATAAAACACAAGGTAACAACCAAAGAAACCAGTGTGAGCAAACCCCACAGGAACTCCAGCCTCCTGAGCCCCACCTCCCAGAGGCCAGTGGACAGCACACTGGATGCTCAGGACAGCACCAGGAGACCTCCAACCTTGCAGGACTGTGGTGCTCTCTCCTACAACAGCTGGGAGGCAGACCCCCAGGTGCTTATTTCCCAGAGAGCCGTTAGTAGCTAGGGTGTTGTTAGTAGCTAGGGTGTTTAGACAGTTTTAAAATCTTATTATGAAATATACATGTGCTGGCAGGTCCCTGTGCTGGCTGGAGAGACTGTCTATGATGATCAAGAAAGATTCTTGCTGCCCAGAGCAGGCACAGGGAGATCAGTCTGTGGCCTGTGGCTGTCCTTAGCATGTTCTAGCAATGCTATATCAAACTGTAAAACTTAATGGAAGATCAACCTAACCCAGGCCAGATAAGCCCACTATGGGCTTCAGAGACCCAAGAATGTAGATTCAGATACAGAACTAAGTTCCAGATACAAAGATGCCTACACCGCTGAGGTCGTTTGAAATAGCAAGCAAAATCAGAACCAATGACAGGGACGTTACAAGGTCACCTTAGCAGTCAGACTTTTGCAATATGCTAGTTATCCATAAAACTATTCATTATGCTCTATAAACTCATGACTAGTGAATAAATGCATCCCAGTCTAGTGAGACCAGGAATGCCATCCAGGAAGACAGAGTGAGGCGTCCTAGGAACGCGCTTCTCTCCTGCACGCCTGACCCCACACTGGCCTAGGGTCACCGAGAATGGCCACCCGTCTGACACATGTCCTCAGCAGAGATGGGACACGCTGTGTACCTTCCATCACCTCAGCACTGCTAATGCACAGGACCCTCCCCAGTTTAGAGGTGACCATGGTCTGAGCTGGTCCCCAGGCTCCTGTCCCCCAAGCCCGGCCCCAGTGCGGTGGCAGCGGGGCTCAGGGCAAGGTGGCCAGGCCACAGGGCACTCCCACGAGGCCTCAGTTGCTGTAGGAACAGCCCAGATCTTGCCGTTCCCTATCCTGCCTCGGGGCCTCTCCCACCACTTCCCTGTCCATGCAGCTGGGCCAGGGGCAGCACCAGAGTCCCGGGCCAGCTGAGCCCCTCTACTTCCTTAGGTGCCTAGCCCAGACATCTCATCAGAGCGACACAGGAGAGACGGGGCAGAGAAGGGGCGCTATTCTCAGCCCATCCTGTTTAAAAGCAAAATACCACATGTAAACTTCTCAACATATCTCACATAACCTTTGTCCTTTTCCTCAGACGAATATGTGGGAAAATAGTAACCCTGAAGCTAAAATAGTGATTTGAAACTCAGTAATTTCTGTAGTCTTACTATGACTTCTTTTCCTTTTTTATAAAATTTAGAAGCCTTTTTCAAAAGTTTTTAAAATTTATTTCTAACCTTTCACTATGCATAGAAAGATGTCTAGAATTATTTTCTTCAATTTTAGTAATGACATTTTGGGAATTAGGTGGAATTTCACTTAATTTATTATATTTAATTTCCTACACTGGTTCATTTCCTTATAATAAAGATAAATTACTATTTGGAAAACAAAGTCATTAAGATAACTTTCAAGACTAAGCAACCAAAGAGATGGATGGGCCACTTAACAAGACAGCCCTGGGACTCCTCTGGTTTGTTCTGTGGGAGGCAGGGTGGGGATCGGAAAATTCCACCTGGGATGTTGAGTTTGGGGTGCAGAGCTGTGTGCTGTGAGGAGTGTCCCCTCACCGTGTCCGGGTGCCGTGTAGTGACATGAGAGCCCAGAAGGGGATCCTGAGTCAGGGTAGGAACCAGGCCTCACTGACCTGCAGGCAACACTTAGGGACAACGTGAAACCAGACAGAGGCAAAGCACACAGGAGACAGCGGGCCGTGTCAGGATGCCCTGCACATGGAGCCGGCCAGGAGTAGGGGGACCACGTCCCCAGGAGCGTTCAGCATCATAGGAGCCAACGACAGACAAGTTTTCATTCAGGAAAGAGCCGCCCCCATGAACAGCTCCTGAGAGTCACAGTCAGATGGAATCAAAGAAGCAGCCAGCTTGGGGTTATTAACACGGCACTATAGAGGCCCGACACGGGCAGGATACACACGAGGGTGCGGACGGAGGTGGGGACGGAGGTGGGGAACCAAGCAAGGGGGTGGGGCGAGGCAGCTGCGGCTCTAGGGCAGGAAGCCAAAGCACAGGGCAGCGTCCACTGCCACAGGCATGGGCAGGGCCAGAGTCTGTGCGCTCCATAGTAGGACGAGGTGCACAAAGGCGGTGCATGCGCAGCAGGAGTGGTGTCCCCCCACAGAAGGACTGGACACCAGAAGAGACAGAGAGGTGGGCAGGCTTGCAGGGCAGCGATCTGGACAGACAGTAGACATCTCCAGTGTGAAATCTATAAAAAGATCTTGACACACACAAGTCAGAACTTTATGAACAGAATGGGACCTGTTACAAAGTAAAGAGCTGCACTTCCTGACGCCTCACTGAAATGGGGCAGCGAACAAGCCGTGTCAAGGTCCCCTCGTGCAACGTCTAGCTCTGAGAGACATGGGAAGCCAAGCACAGAGGTCTGCCATGACAAGGGTATGGCACAGGGTGACCACAAGCAGAAACACTGTTGGGGTGAAACCAAGGTGTGGATGAAGGTTCCAAACAAGGTACCTGCATATGCAGTGAGTGGGGCTGGCTGTCACAGGCCCACGTCAGCACCGCTAGCAGACTAGCACTGGCGGCAAAACAAAGCAAAGTAACTTCAGACACATTCGATTCTACTAAAAATATGCCTGAACTTGCTTAGAGAAATAAGTTTCAAAACAATGAAAGTAAATGTATTACCACAGAAAAGGTTATTAAAAAGCAAATTAAGTTAAGAAAAAATGTTCCTCAGAAAGCAATTTTCTCCTTTTCTGACAGTGATTTTATAAAAACAGCTAATTACCAGGTAGCATGTGGAAGACCAATTAGTTAGTGAGAAGCAGAGACAAAAGTATTTCCCGGTAAAACACAAAATCAGAACAGTAGACCACAAGAACTCAGGAAGTGCTCTAACTAGAGCTGTTTTTACAGGCTTACTATGTGCAGACACCGTTAAATTTCACACGCTAGTCTCAAGGCAACTCTGAGGAAAGCAAGATGCCTGCTGCCCTTTAGGCAGATGAGGGACCGGACTGCCTTACACAATAAGAAACACCAAGTGGCTGGCCTGCAGATCCCAACTGACCACCACTCCCACAGCTTTGCTTCAGCACCAGCAAGGGGATGGAAGACTCTGCACGGCAGGGCAGACTGAGTCCCTGTGGCTATTATAACACGGCAGACACCGTGAAAATTAATGAATAGTCTAAGAGCTTTCACTTTTTGTGTTATTTTTTTATGTAACTTCACAAAATCCAACTGCTATCTGTTCCAACAGAACAGTAGAGAAAATTTAAAAGAAATTTATTTCAAGGAAATATACAGGAAAAAAAGAAATTCACTGGGTATATTGCTAACAACAGGTCGAAATCTAAGTTCTATCACTCCAGAACTCACAAACATATTTGCTGCGTGTCCTGGTTACTTTTCTCTCTTTGTTGAAACAAAATACCTGATGCCTAAAGTGAAGGCAGGAAAGGTTTATTCAGCTTACAGTTTGTGGAGGTTTCAGTCCACACTCAGCTGACTCCAAGGCAGGGGGGTGTGGCTAGGGGCAACTGTTCTTGGATGCCCCAAGCAACAAGAGTGAAAAGGGCAAAAGGAAAAAGCACGCTTCCTTCTCTCCCTTATGTTGTATGCTGGCTCTGCCCCTGGGTGAGTGCAGCTCTCACACTCCAGTCCCAGCACTAGACAATGAACCAATCACAAACGCTAGATTCAGCCACCGCCATGACAGCATGAGGTCTGGGGGGACGTCCAGACACAAACCATAGCCTGTGCAAAAGCAGCCTACTGAATGGGTCTTTTCCCACTCTCTAACCTGCTTTTGAGGTACCTGATGCCATAAGCTAGAAGTTCAAGTTTCATATGAACACCGAGTTTGAGACAGAGAGTATACCACCCAAAGATCTGTCACAGCTACACATTTTTATGCCTTCTTTAAATTAGAAAGACCAAAAATGAAGCTCACATAGTAAGAAATAAATCTTTTTATGTTAAAATATAGACATATAAAATATACTACCATTAGAGAATTCTAAATTCAGAAAAGTAATTGCCTACTTCTTAGGTAATGCATTATCACAGACTCCTCTAATGACAGGAAAAATGACTATGGAAAGGGGGAAAATCTTGAACCTGTGAAAGTGGAAAATTTCCTTCATCCAGCAACTTTTAAAGGCAGTAATTTATAAGTGAGAAGCCTGTTATATATCTACATATGACCAAAAGAATTAAGAATTTCCTAAGTCTCTTTAGCCCTACCAACCCTGCTTTATTTCTCATTTGAACATGCTACATAAAATGTCAAAAAATAGGAACTGAACCAGAAAGATTTAAGCATCTGGAAAAGTAAAGCTGCAGAGTAATGATCAAACAACAAGGTAGCGAAATGCAGGCCTCAAGATAAACCCTGTGTGGTGAGGCCCCGTCCAGAGCTTTGTTATGGGCAAAGTCTACTCAGCACCAACACAGGGATGCCCCTGGCAACTCTTGGGTGCCTAATGAAATAGTCTCCAACTATTTAAAACCAGCAATGGAAGACACTAAAATTACACTCAGGAGTTCAGACAAAAGGCTGAGGTGCAAATACCTGGATGCCTTGTTTGTCTGTAATGTCATAGGAAGAAATTCACCCTAAAACATAACTTTAAAATTAGCTTAAGTGCTTTTCAAAGCACACAGAACAAACACATCCTTTATATGACATATAAAATGACTGAGCACCTTACCTTAGTCCAAAGATGTGTGACTGTTCATAGTTGAATAAAGAATGAATCTTAGCTTCAGAATTTAAAATGATAAGTCGATCAATTATATCCTGAAATACAGAATGAGACTATGCTTTATTGAAACCACTTGAAAAAAATTAAATCAATAAGTATACATTTAAATTTGTAATTTTCAAAATGACTTTCACATTGGAATTACATGGGAAACTGTGTTTTTAAAAAGCCACTGACGTGGGGAGAACATGGCGGACAAATAACAGCAGCCACAGAGGCTCTCTGAGATTACCAGCTTAGAATCCAGGAGTGGTGCCGTGTGAGGAGTCGTAGCGAGGGGAGATGTACCCTGCCGACCCCGGAACGAACTAAGCTGAGAGAAACCAACTGGAAATGCAATCCTGATGCTATAACTGGAACAGATACAATCTCAGTGCGGAAGCTGGATCCCGCGCCATTGGAAGCCGCGATTTGAATTTCCTGCTGCTGATACTGCATCCCAATCCGCATGGCAGGGAGAGAGACACGCGAAAGCTCTGAGAGCGGGAATCCGCGAACCAAACGGCAGGAGAGCGGGACTGGCAGGGAGCCCTACATCGACCTGCGGTGAGTGAGAGAAATGGGGACCCTTTCGTAAACTAGGAGGCTCCAACAGAGGACATTCTGAGAACAAGCAGACTAGCCGGAACAGGGCCCTGCAGTGACTTTAGTCGCATATTCCCCTCTCAAGCAGGAGTGGTGGGGAGCGCTTGGCCTCGTGACGCTCCGGATCCAGTAGGCTAGCCCAAATCAGGTCCCTGCACCTGGTGGTGCACCCTAGCAGTGAAGCATTCAGTAGGTTGACCTGGAGGGGCAGGCCCAGCAGAGGCTGCCCAGGTCTGTGTCTCCCTAGTACACTGCAGTGGGCGGGAACACCTAGCCAGCAGATTCAAACAAACTGTAACAGACAAAGAAAAACAAAAAACAAAAAACAAAACTGGGCCTCCTACATACGCTTGTATGGAAGGAACAAAACGTATGGGAAAAGGGAACAACAAGAAAGGGTCCTGAGTCCCCAATCCTGAGAACACTGATGCAGGAAAGGTAAATGCAAAAGAGAATGAAGACAAAAAACATGCAGTATCAAACACGGCACCTATAGACATAAAGCGGTATCTCCGGAGCCTCATAGATGAGTTCAAAAATGAAGTATTTAATGAAATAAAGCAAGAAATAAGTAGAATAGTTAGAGAAATGCTAAGCACCGCCCAAGAAAAAACAGATGGTGGAATGGAAGAACAGAAAAAACGGGGAGAATTGTTTGATCGACAAAATAGAGAAAATGTGAAGAAGGTTCAAAGAGATTACCAGGAAACTAAAAACTCTATTGAAAGCTGGCATAACAGCTTGAAAGAAACTAAGGACAGATTATCTGAACTGGAGGACAGATTTGTAAGGTGGGAGCATGAAACGAAAAACTTCTTAAAAATAACAAGAAAACAAACAGCAATAATACAAAGGCTTGAAGATGATAAGAGGATCTATAACTTAAGAATTAAGAACATAAAAAAAGAAGTAGGGACTCAAACAAATGAACTACAAAAGCTATTCACAGAAATAATCCAGGAGAATTTCCCTAATTTAGCAAAAGGTAAAGATACTCAGATGTATGATGCATACAGGACGCCAGCCACCCACAACCCAAACAGAGCTACACCCAGATATATAATAATCAAAATCCCAGAAATCCAATATAAGAACAGAATATTAAAAGCCATCAAAGACAAGAAACAGATCACTTACAAGGGAACACCCATCAGAATTACAGCAGCCTTCTCGGCGCAAACCATCAAATCACGAAGAGCATGGGGGGAAATAATTCAAGTTTTGAAAGATAATAACCTCCAGCCAAGATTGATATACCCTGCACAACTGTCCCTAAAAATTGATGGAAAAACAAGGTGCTTCCAGGATAAAGAGGAACTAGGGGAATTTGCAACCACCAATTCAACTCTACAAAGATTACTGCAGGATATTCTAAAAATGAAAAATACCAAGATTCCAGAAACAGTGGCAGAGCGGCCACAATGAATGGAGCAGAAAGAGAAATGAAGAGGACAAACTGACAACTAATGACAGAAAAAGAGCTCAACAGAAATGAGGCAGAGAAGGTTGGATGGTACGAACAGCCATTTTGGAGAAAACAAGACATCATAATAGGTAGTGCTGATTTAATATCCTCTTGTTTTGAAGTTTCATCAAGCTTTTGTTTTTCTGTCTCCATCCGTTTTAACGTGTTGTATCTTATTGGATTTATTATATGTGATAATATAAACAAAAACTTTTATAGACAAGGAGATTATACAGAAACCATTGTTCATTTTCTGTTAGTTGGTTCTAAATACCCTGTAATACTGTCATTCTCTTGAACGGTTTTACATTGTCTTGATATGTTTGATGTTACAGTATACGAAGTTATACCCAAAGATTTTAAGGGAAGAGACACTATGGTAACTACTATTATGTCGAGATTATCTTGTAGTGAAACACTATTTTGCTTAAATGGCTATGTTTTGACCTGCACTGTTTTGTTATATCCTCTTTTTTAATCTCAATCTCCTTTTTATTATCTACTTTTTCATTTTTATCCTTTTAATTAAGGGAAAAATAAATAAAAAATAGCAGGATAAAAAAAAGCCACAGACCTGTGGGGTCCCCATCTTAGCAGCTCTGCACTAAATGGTCTGGGTGTGGCCTGGGACTAGGAACAAGAATCTGTGCAAATTCCTAAAGTAAACCTAACACTTGGCCAAAGGTGAGGGCTGCTCAGTTAGACTCCACTTTGGAACAGGTGAGCAACTCATAGGGTTAATAAAATGATGATAAAACTGGAAAAAAAGTAAACTACTTTGAGAAGCACACACCAAGTCACAAATGTGGAGCATGAACAATGGTTCTAGTATTTTTATCTATCAGATTTTTGAGATTTCAGTAATTAATATTCTCTGGCTCCTGTGGCTGAGCACTGAATCACTAAGGGACTTTAAAATGCCCAAAGCTGAGAGCCACTCGCTCTGCCCAGGGCTGGGCCTCCAAAGCCCCCTAGTTGCCACAGGCTGATCCCATTGCTGTCACATAGCTCTGAAGCCCCTCTGCAAGCCTGGCTGTAATGCCCTGCTTTGGGGGTGCCTGAGACACCCACTCCTCTCCCTCACTGCTCGTGTTCCTGACCCAGAACTCTGCTACCCCACAGCGAGCTTTTTGACCAGTCGGGCAAAATAAGAAAGGCTCCCCCTGCGATAAATCCAGGGAAGCTTATTCAGGACTCTGGGGTAGAGATAAAAGACCATGTCATCAAACAAAGAGACCAGAGAGTGGGGCCAGAAATAGGAGGAAACAGTGGGTAACTCAAAGTCACACTCCAAAACACAAGTTAGAATACAGCACAAGCTGGCTTCCTGCTAAGTTTACCCATCAAAACTTCCAACCGCAGACCTAGGGACAAGCGTGCTATTTCACAGTGCCTCGTGGGAAAACAGACGTGGTAATCTGAATCCGTGAGCACTGACGAGCTCGACCATGACCAAGAGACCATCCGTTCTCCGGCCCCGACACTGTCACCTGCCACTGCCATGCAGCTGTGCACACCTCACATTAAACAGGGACAGGCACCGAGCCGCCCACCAGGCTGTGCCCTTGGGGGTCCCTCCCATTCCCCGCCCCACCTCCGGCACCTGCGCCTATGTAGTGTCCCCAGCCATCTGCAAGGGACACACAGCCAGGCTTTGGTGGCTCCCAAACACAGGGGTATTTCCTCCCGCTTGATAATCACAGTATCGTTACTGCTATGTTTCCAGAGTTCATCCTCACGGAGCAGCCTGGTGGTGATCACGGACCACTAACACCCTTCCTGGAAAGGGACTGTGGCCATGAGTGAATGGTCATTAGTGCGGCCCGAGGATGCACACCTCCTCCTGACCAGAAGCCGGCCTCAGACTGCTTGGTCCAGTAGCTCCACAGTTCCGGTTCCAGACCTCAGCCTCTGGGATGGCAACAATGCTGGAAGGAACCCACATCATCAAGAAGCTCACGGGGAGGACGCTGCAGCCGCCGGCCATGGTAAGGTGCGGTCAGGAAACCCACATCGCAGTGAGTCCTTTCTCCCTGGACAAGGTCACAGGGCCTTCAGCCTGCCTTCCAGGAAGCCTGCCTGTGATAGCTTCGGCTCCTGAGCACGGCATCCTAAACAATGCAGCAGCTTCCCAGCAGCAAACCACTGAAAGCAAGCCCTGGGCTTTGCAACAGCAGACTGGACGGCAGAGGAGCCCTGCTCTGACAGGGGCTCCGCAGACCCCAGCGCCTGCCTCTATGCCGCTGCCTCACAGACATCTCTTCCTGGAAACAGGCTGAGGGGCGAGGCAGAAATGCCCCCGGCCTTGCCCTCCCAGGGGCGTCTGGTCTCTGGGGAGCCTCGAAGTGACACTAACATGACCTGGCAAGGTCCACCCTTGGCATTTTCCAAAGCAGGGGAGGACAAGAAAGCCTCGCTCCCATTTGGGGTTCAGTGAGTCACCTCCTCCCAGGACCTGCAAATGCCGGTCTATTTGGAAGCAGTCTTGCAGAGGTAATCAGAACTTTTTTCTTTTTCCAATAATGGGATCTGAGCCCCGAATATGTTGAATTCTCAGCCCTTTACTTTTTACTTTGAGACAGGGTCACACTAAATGACTACACTGCCTGCTCTTGTGATTCTAAGGTAATCCAACCTAGGTCATCCCAGTGGGCTTAAATTCAAGGCACACGTCCTCAATAGCAAAAGACAAGGCACTGAAGGTGGAGAAGAGGGGACGGTCTTGTGAACACAGAAACGGTAGTTAAGCAGCAGCGAGACAGGAAAGCGGAGCTGAAGGGCTGGGAAGGCCCAGGGAGAAAGTGGCCCTGCTGCCACCTGAGGACTCAGGACTCTGGGGGCCCTGTTCCAAGCCACCGTAGGACAGCAAGCCAGCGAGGGGAGCGGCAAGGCCTATGGGGGAACGGAAGGCACTGGGCCTCTCACCTGCAGGCAGCACCAACTAGAGGCAGAGATGCCCGCACGGAAGCAAGCGCGGGGCAGTGC